TGCTGAACCCACTGACTGACTCTTAGTCTATGGCTCCCACACCTCATATGGGATGGCTAGCCTCAGCTTCTGCATCTGACATGGGCCTAGAGAAGCAGGGGTGGATGTGCTACCCACAGGAGCCTGCACAGGTAGGTAGCCTCCCTCCACTTCTTTCAGCTCACCCTCCAGCACCATGGTCCACTTCCTACTGTTAACACCCACCCAGGTCCAAGGAGTCCAGCTGTGAAGAATCCATCGGTCATACCCTTGTGACTTATGTACATTTTTGACAGATGTACCATATTCATTAAAAGGTTCATTTAAAAAAAGAAAAGGGGAGTATACTTTCTATGGTTATGACAGGTGCAGCCAAGCACCTGCTCTTCTGCAATGAACATGCTGATTTTTACTTTTGCTCAGTTTTTCCAGTAAAAATGAGTGTCTCATTAATTTCTCTTGTACATCTTTTCTCCCTCTGCTACACTGAGTATCTCCTACACTCCTACACCTGCTGGGCTCTGTGGGCCCCTCAGAAACAAAATGAAACCAAAATCCAAACTCAAAGGCCCACATTTATGCAAAGTCGGCAAGAATCTGGTCAAAACAGGGTCTTTCCTGATATACCAGTCCCTGGGACCCTCTCTGCATGGTTTCTGAGCAGAGAGCCTACATTTGTGCATCTGGGGGGTTCTGACTTATGTTGTCCTTTACAGACACACTCAATGAACAGTCCTCATTCTAAACTGCCCTCTCACCAAGGACCACATACCCCTTCTGACTTTGATCCAATCTTTGGAAACCACAGGCTTTCAAGGTGTGTGCCAGGATTTGCCTTGGCCTACCCACTACCCACCGTCAAGTAAGCTTCATATTACCATCTCCTGTGCCACATCATCTGGTGTCTCCCTCTCCAAGTCAAAGGTGAACTCTATGGCCCCGTTGTCCTTGGGCTTGCCCTTCAGTTTCTTGGGGTCCTCAACCCAGAGCCGCAGGGCAATGGTGGACTTCCTGCCATGGTCTTCCTCAGCCAGCTCCACCCTCACACCCGTGTCCTCCGCAAAGAAGGCATGGCTGAGCAAGTCCTTGATCTCGTACCTGAGGAGAGGGAAAATGAGAGGCACACCTGCTGGGGGGACCCTGGACACGGGTGCTGAGCCGCGACCCACCCAGCCCCCTCTAGATTGTGACTGTACTACCTGCTGAGCAGGCTGTGCCCTCCAGGGGGCACTCTACAGCTTACATGTGCATTCCCTAACTCCCAGAAAAGGAAAGGAAAATTAGTCCTGGACAAACCTCACTGGGTAGTATTTAGGACTCTTTTCTGATTATAAAAAAAAAAAAAAAAAAAAAAAAACAACCAAAAAAAAAAATCCATCAAGCTGATATCTGGAGGAAAGTTTTCAAAAGGAGTGGTAACACAAACTGAGCTCACCAGCCCTTCAGCAGGCCTGGGTTCTGCCATACAGACCCAGGCCTGCTGAGGGGCTGGTGAGCTCAGTCATCACAAAGATACCTGGCTGCAGGTAAGACTGAACTGGACCTGGAAGTGTCTATAAGCCCATTTTCAGGGGGTTTTCAGAAGGCTCCTAGGGACAGGAAGGTGCGGCTACATGAGTGTTGCCATGGTAACCACTCTGGCCCCAAAGCCTCATCCCAAATACTAGTTTAGTTCCTGTCCTGGCACGAATGGATCCATGCACTGTCCCAGGCCTAGCTTCCTCCCAGGGTCAAATCTGTGGTCACCATGGGCTGCAAGCTCCAGTAGCCCATCCCCTGTGGACAGTTACTTTAAATGGAAGGGGGACAACCAGGTGAGGAAACCCTCAGTGAGGTCGACAAATGCTATCAGGCCCCTGGGCTCTCTGTAGGTCCTGGTCTGGGAGGTGGTCTCACAGGATCTGCTCTGATGGTTCTTTGGCTCTACATGGTTGCTCCTATACTTTTATTATATGGGTTACATCTAACAATTTTTTAAATTTTTTTCTTAAAAAATGAAACCTGTAGGGCAGGAAAGAAGGCCCAGGGATCAGGACAGGGCCCCTGCCTGAGTAATGATGGCTATGGAAAAGAAAAGTGATCAATGCTGAGGACAGTGATTAGGGTGGCCATGTGTGGGTATGTCGGGGCCAGAAGGGCACATGAAGGGGCAAGGAAGAGGTAGGGCGAGAGGAAGAGGAAGAATGGGGAGAGTGGGGGATGGGCTGGAGAGGAGGGGCAGGGGGAAGAAGCAAGGAGGAGGGAGGGAAGGGAGAGGAGGCAGGGAAGCTCAAAACATAAGCTCAGTTTCCTGGCTGACCAGCTGAGGAGGTGGGGGCTGGTTTTGGTGGTATCTCTGACTTGAACATGATAACCTGCAGTGGGGAATGGGGAAGGTCAGATATAGGTGAAGGGACTATGCAGCCTGGAGCTGAGGACGAAATGAATCAGGGAGCCTGGGCATAGGAGTGTCCTGCAGGCTTTGGGGGAATAGATGTGCCCACCAAGGACAACACAGAGAAAAAGCAACAAGGGGCAGAGCAAGGCCCCAGGAGCCTCCTTGCTCCAGAATGATCCCCAAAGTCAGGAAGCATGTTCCAGGGGCTGCCCACTGACAGCCTGGTAGGCTTGCTGGTACCCAGGACAGGACACCCGAGCCTGAAGCAGCCTGTCTATCTCTTGAAGCTCTTTGCGGGCCAGCTGAACCGACTTCAGAAGGAGAAACACCCCAGAACCAGCACTGCCGGGACCTCACCTCTCTTCCTTGTCTTTG